AAAACAGCAAATTTATCTGGCAGGGGGCGCGCATCGCCGCTGGCGCGAGCATATTTAACCATAATAACCACTAACGACTGAGAGTTTCCTGGCCGGAAGTGCCGGAAGTGCGCGCTCGCGCCACCACCGCCACCGCCACCGCCGCCAACGCCGACGCCCTAGCAAACGACATAACCGCCTGGCTAAGCCGAAACGTTAAACGCCGATTATCGTGTTCCCAGCTCTCGCCTGTAATTTCCCGCGGAAACTTTCGCCCCCGGGAGCAGAATTCAGGCATTGAGCGCCAAATGGCAAATATAACTCATTTTACGGGGAGAAAATAGACCGTCATCCCCCACTCCTGCACCACTCGGCATTGGGCTCCGCGATTAACAGTCCGCGATCCGATTGAACGGGCTGGAAAATCGACGGATACGGAATACCGAATGCTGGGACATTTCGGACAGTTGAGTGGAATCGCCACAAGCCGATATCGCTTCTCCCTTCGATCTCTATAGCCGGCTGCAAATCGGTTGGCACACTTCTCATCAAATAAAGTTTACGACACTTCAAGTTGCCAAAATTGAAAGCCACTGCTGACATGTATTATGCGCAGTAATCGGGATTATAAATATACAAGATGTATTAAAGTTATTACACAGGTTGTTATTTCTAAAAATATGAAATTTTTGTTTTCTGTCAATCGTTTGGTAATGTCACTTGAGATGAAATTTCTTCTAGATGGAATCGAGATAATTCCAAGGACACTTTGAATTTTAACTGCGATATAACGGCCTGTAACACCTATAATTTTGCACCTTGAAAATTACTTCTCTCAAAAAATAAATTTCTTTTTATTTTAAAATAAATTTTTCCTTCCAAATTTTATAAATGTCACACACTGTACTGTCTCTTCGGCTCCTGTCATAATCGTTTAGTGCGTATACACGTTAGTAGCAGTTTTCAATTCTGACAACTTGAGGCATTGCGACGTCATACGATAAATAGTGTGCAAACAAATTTGCAGCCGACTATATACTGAGGGAAAAAATATCTAAGAAATAAGAGATATTTATTTGGCAGATACTAATAACGTATTTGCTAAATAAACAATTGCTTTTATGAGAAGTTATCGTTTCAAAGAAAAAAAAACAAAATGTAATAATATTGTTAATTCCTAAACACAGAATTGGTGACCAAATTTTCACTCAATTTTTCTTTTTCCGTGAAATAAACGTATATTTTTGTTTGAAAAATATTTTATATCAATATAATAAATATGGGTTTTACAAAATTGATGAAACAAGTACTAATCATGAGACATTTTCTTCGTTAGTAAAATATTTTAATTATTTTAGTAAAAAGAGCAAATGTTACTTCCCGAATACATTTGAAACATTCAACAATCGAACAAAACATCGTTGTCGAGTTTAATATAAATATTTTTTGTTTTTTAAATATTCTTTTTCTCCATGAGACACTGAAAAGAAGATTTTGTTGTCCAAACAAAAATTTAACCGTACTATAATTTGATTAAAATAGGATCAATGAAACGTTTGGTAATCAAAAACTTTAACTGCCTCTATGTGTATTTTACTTTCTCAAAAACATGGTAAAGCAATCAAATCGTGTATGTACACGGAGAAAAATAATTTGTTAGTCCAGCAAATTTTCTGCTAGTCTAGCAAAATCTTTTCGTTATTATATAGATAGCAAAAAGTACTAATCACTATTTGTTGGATATAATTTGCTGAATCTACATATCATTTTGCTATAAGAACCATGATAGATTTATATAAGCAGTTGCAATTTTGCTCCGATAACAAATAAATTTGCTAAGGATACATTATTTTGCATGGATAGCAAATTAATGATTCTTCGGGCAAATACATTCAAGAAATTTTTTCTATCCTGGCGACGAAACTACTTCTGCTCTGATAACGAATAATTTGTAAAATTAGTTACGTCAACTAAATGTTTTTGATGTCACTACGAATATGCAGTAGCAACGACGATTTTGTTAAAAGAGCAAAATTATTTGTTTCCGTGTACCAAATATTTTAGTTCCAAACACGAAAATAATTTTTCCAGTGAAGGGTAAAAGACAGACGCGAACGGAGAAGTGTCGTTTCGTGTATGATATCGTTTAGATTTTAATTGAAAGATTATCACACTGCCGAGGCATCTAGTCGCTGCAACTTGTGTGGAATTCGCGAGCCAACGTCACATCCAAAGTTGATCGTTCCGACCTCGTCGATATATCGACACGCGACGTAAAAGTCTCTTGCTCTTTATTTGATAAGATCGCGAGGAATCCCGTGGCCCTCGTAATAAATTGCTTTCTCGCGGAAATTGCTGAATATTGTTCGTGCCGCGGTGTTTTCCAGTCGCAATAAAGCTCCACGCACGCCAGCTTTAATAACCGCGCGCGATTTATTGGATTTTATCGCGGAGACGGCGTGCAAGCAAAGCTCGCGAGCATTTCTCGCCGACGGCTAGTCTGATATTTACACATCCACAAGGAAATATCGTGCGCTTGCAAAGAAAATAATTGCTTCCTTTCTCTGCTGATAGATATTACGCGTTTGCACGTGTGTGTCGTGGCCGTCGCGCTGCGTATCGATCTTCGAATTTCCTTCCTGCCTGCGCCGATTCCGCGGCATCGTGCGACATAAACGCGCACGACCGTGTGTCTGCGAAATAAATTACACGCCCGTCACACGGCTCGTAAAAAACAGCGGGAGAACTTCGCGAGATTTGCGCGTCAATCTTCTGCGTAACGTGCGCGCGATGAGTCCGATAAATTTTGCGGTTCATCCTTCCTTGCGAGAGAATTCGAGCGCGCGCGATAAAAGCGGAAAATCGATACTTCGGAATCGATTAACAGCTGAAACGTTGTTTGCGCAGCGGCACAGTTAAAAAATTACCGAAAAAAGTATGGAAGCTATGAGCGCGATACAGCGGGAGGTGTTGTTTGTTTTCGCGTGTTAACCAATAGTTACGTATTTTCAAAACATTTAAAGCTCTATATCGTTGCACAATGAGTCGAAAAAACAACATTTTGATTCGCGTGTCCCGCATGGTCTGGCGAAATTCGCCGGGAATTCGCGTTTCTGTTTGTAAACGTAACTCAATTTCGTCGCGCATCGCCTGCCGTCGCATATGGAATGAAAAATTCTACGTGCCGCGGTTTATATAGAGTGGTTTTGAATAGAACTGTCGAAGTTTTTCAGAGAAAGAGACTGAAAAAAGTAAACGCCTCCGAAAATCTCTGCGTGCTGCGATCTCGTGTTCTGATCATTCATGACGCGTGATCGTGTCATCAAATTAAGGTGATTTTTATCGCGACAATAAAAAAGTTATGTTAAATAATCATTAATATAACACGAAGAAGCTCTACAGATCTGTGCTAAGTGTTTGTATATATAATTTATGATATACTTTGACAGTACAGCAAGAGAATATCAATCAAGCTTACATAATGTTTTTTAAGAACTCGTAAATAAATAATTATTTTTCGCGCTTTGACGTATCGTAGTTGTTTTATAATATATATTTCCACAAGTCTCTCTTTTATTGTCTTCTTGTTTTTCGTCAAAACCATAAAAGTAGTTTGATTGCTAGAGTTGAAAACGTGATATCTCGGAAGCCGTTTTTGTACTCGCGATGTACATGTAAATAGTACTAACTTTGACCTCAGTTATTTCAGCTTCAGCATAGTCAATCTTTTTCTAATGGCACATACGTATCGACTGTGTTTCGATTAATATACATATCTTGCTGTAGTGATTAATGCTAAAATTTTAAAGGAATTCTAAAAAATTGGTTTATGAAACAACTACGTTAAAGGGGATGCCATACTTGAAAGCTTCACCGACAAAATATTGACTTTTCTTTGCAAAGTTTACGTCGTCTTGGACAATTACTCTCTTGCACAAAATCACAAATATTGATACAAGCTGAAAGTACGTGCAACAATAAATTGAAGCATTGCCCGCTATGTGATGAGAACGATAAAGAATTTTAAAATTGATTGAATTTTAAGATCTTGAGAGCTGTCAGTTGGCGTAAATATTTACGAAAATCCCGCAGCTTGCGCGTATCACACGTACCTTGTGCGTTTGTTCTGCTAACGAAAATTTCAAGGAACATTTCTTTACAAAGAATCTTTACAACTGAATGTATAGGAGCTCAAAAGTATACGAAAAATTTTCGCAGAAAGTTTTCTATATATGTGTGGTAAAACAAAACAGCACACATTTTTATAAAATCATGAAACATGAGATCTACACGGAGAAAAATAATTTGTTGGCCCAGCAAATTTTCTGTTGGTTTAGCAAAATCTTTTCGTTATTATATCAACAGCAAAAAGATTTGCTAAGAGTACTAATCACTATTTGCTGGATATAATTTGCTAAATCTACAAATTATTCTGCTATAAGAACCATGATAGATTTATATAAGCAGTTGCACTTTTGCTTCGATAGCAAATAAATTTGCTAAGAATACATTATTTTGCATCAATAGCAAATTAACGTGATTCTTAGGACAAATACACAACAAATTTTTTTTATTCTGGCAACGAAACTGCTTCTGCTCTGATAACGAATAATTTGTAAAATTAGTTACGTCAACTAAATTTTTTTGTTGTCACTACGAATATGCAGTAATGACGATTTTGCTAAAAGAGCAAAATTATTTTTCTCCGTGTACGTGCACAAGAAATACAAAGAAGATAGTAGATGATCGTTTTAGTGATAATCGCCTCTACGTTATCGACATTTATCAAATTCGTCAAGCAACTTCAACATCACCTTAATTTTATCATCTGCGAGCAAAGCAATTTTTACGTAAATCCCACTGTGCCCTCTTTATCGCGTGCGAGCTATGGCTTGAAATTTCAGCTAGCCACCGCAAAAAAGGGTCGCACTTATCGAGCACGAAGGGCGACATCTAAATCGTCCACGCGTTGATTAAAGTCGTAGTTATTCAACGCTTTATCCTTCTTCTTCTTTGCTCAGGACCCGCATCACCGCTGCTGGATCTCGCGGGATACAGCCGTTGCGGCTACACCTTGGTATTGAAGGGGTTGGTTTTTCCCCAGTGGAAGCGACGACCTCTGGCCGTCATCGGCTCCAGGCTCTTCCTTTATCCGGGTAAGTGTTCCACTCGAGATCCTGCCAATCCCCGAGATAAGAAAATTCAGAACGAAAGGATGCGTAGGCTCGGCCAAGCAGAAAACAAACCCTCGTTGAGGAGAAACAACCTCTCAGGGTCTGTTGGAGACGTTAGGGATCGCGTGACGATCCGTCTTCCTTTCGCGCGCGCGCGACTCGAGATCACAAGAGGATTCTTCGAATTAGCTGTTTGAAGGGCGTATTTTATTGATTTCACTGTCATTCGTAATTGGAGTCATTCTTATTTCCAAGAGTTCTCTTTCAGAAACTGACTTTAAAATCAACGCTTTGTTTATCGATCAAAAGCTTTTTGCTTTTCGATATAGAGACTTGAGCTCTCTTAGAACATATAAAAAAATAATATAGCCTCAAGAGGATCTAAAACTATAAAAGGAGAATATTCCAACACTTAAAAAAAATTATTCTAGTTGCAAGATGCTATTTCCCGCAATTCTATATTCTAAACGAAAATTCTTACCAGCATTCTGCTTTTACTGAAGTAAATTATTGAGCTATTATTGTTCTAATTTTTTTTCTTCTAGATTTTTTTACAGAAATATATTTACTTGAGGCAGAGAATGTGTTCTCTTACTAGAAAAAATTCTATTAAGAACAAAAAACTGTAGATTGTACTGTAGATGGAAAACAAAATTCCTTTACCTTTAACCCTAAAATTCTAAACATCAAAAAATTCTGCAAACGCGCATTTTCATTTGCTCATTAAAACTTTCGGGAAAATGATCGAAATTTAATTATTTTTTTATTTTACTTGGCGTAGAAAACATCAAGAAATATGAATTTATTAATGTTTTTGCAATTCAATGAAGTTGGAAAAAGTTATATTGATAAAACAAAGCACATGTTTTCGTTTGAATGGTAACGCTTGAAAAGTTAGTTTGAATTTTTATTTAGAGTTTTAGGATTACAGAATATTTTCATTTTGGTTTTAGGAGAATTCTCTTTAAACCATGTGTAAAGAGAATATTCTCTAAAAATAAGATTATATTTTATTGAACAAAACAAAATCTTCAATTTCATCCGAAAAATCGTCAATACGTCGACTGCCATACATACACACATAGCTTTCTTTTGATATTAAAATATATATTTACCCGTGATCAATTTTTGAAATGAACGTATATGTGGAAATTGTTCCACAAAATCCTCAAGTTATCATCTTCGGACACGGAGATGAGACAAAGGTAAGGGAAGGAAGAGAAACATCACGCGATCAGTCCCATAAATGTTTCCGTCCCCATTGCTCTCCTTCCCGACACCCGAAACACCATGATTTATCTACGTCCGTCCCTTATCCTTCCATTGGAACGATTCTGTCACCGAGCAGGATGCGTGCCGCGGATCAAGAATTTCTTCGGTCGAGAAAGGATTTATCGTCCTGACGTGCAATTACGTCTCGCCGAACATTCAGATACCGCGCATTGCTATCGCACGGGAGAAAAATAATGTTGCCTACGTAACGAGAACCTTATTTACCCGCACGAACAAGTAACGCGTCGGTATACCGAAGTGAATGAATCGAAAAGGGAATGAAACATTCATACGGTTGAAATGTACCCAAAAAAAATATAATCTCATTCTTAGCAGATATATCCTCTCTCTTATATGCGGCCTCAAGAGGATTCTTCTGAAACCAGAAGGGAAATATTTCAACTCCCAAAAAGAGAACTCTAGTTGCAAGGTGCTATTTCTTGTAATCCTATATTCTAAGCGAAAATTCGTACCGGAAAAATATTGCTCTCCTATTGAAGTAAATTATTAATCGGAGATCTACTATACTGAAAACGTTACTTTTGCATTTGGAACTGAAATATTTGGTGCGATTTGGTTGGCATTATATATACATGCTTTTTACTTGTGTCAAGTACATATATTAAAGCAAAACATGTACAATTAAGTTTTCTGGTTGCAATTATCAAATATTTAGTTGATTCCATTTTAATCAAATTACCAAATGTTTTTTTTTTTATAACAAAACTCTCTTTTTAGTGTAGGTATTATTCCAATTTTTTCCCTTTAAAATCAAGATGAATATGTTTGCATGAAGTTCTTTCATTACAGGAAATTTGTCTTAAGGGAGGAAAGCACTATAGAACGCGAAAACTAAGGGAATTTTCATGAATTTTTTTTTAAGAATATATTTATCCAATCGCTCCCCAACTTTGTAATGTTTTTGCTTGTACATTAAAGTATTAAGAAAAATATTTTTAAATAAAAAAAATGTTTATAAATTGTATGTAGTAAAAAAAATGTTGAACGTCGTGGCAGAGTCGACGCAAAACAGTGTGCACTCTGACTCCTATTGTATTCGTCTGAAACAAAAATAGGGAAAAATTTTTTACTCTTTATGGACATAATTTGTCGATGAACCTAAAAAGTTGAGAAAAAATTTTGTAATTGACAAAAAAGCAGTCTTTGAGATAAAAATTCGATTTTTACTCATAAAAATTCATCTTTATGTTTGCAAAAATATTGTTTAAATAAATAATTTTATGAGTTTTATAGGTTCATTGACTAGTAAATATAATAAAGTAAATGTATGTAAAAGGATAACTCGATTGGTCAAATAATTTTTATCTTGCATATCAGTTTGAAAAGAGTCGTTTCGAGAAAAACGTGTTTAAAGTTTCAGATATAAAAAATTGTAAACTTATAGCTGTTTTCTGCTAATGCGTTATTCTTTCCTCATACAGTAAACCTTCCGCTTCTCCGAACAAGTTATTTTACTCAAGTTGGTGTTGTTTACTTGCTATTTAAGCCTCTCACTACAACTTAAACTGCGGCGCTTCTGTCTCTTTATTCGCTCGGCGTATTTACTATCAACATATAATTTACATAGAGGCCTAATTTTAATTTCTAATATTTCTATTATCTTTAAAATAGCAAAGCTATTCATTAAATATCCTAGCAGCGATATAAACGGTGATTTCGATGATTGTAAGGCCAGAATGTATATGCTTTGGAGCTAACCGTTAAATTGTAGTATTAAAACTTTTATTCGCATGTTTTGTGTGTCCACCTAAACACCTTTCTAATAGGTCTTTCTTAGAAAGATTTTTCAAAATCACGGGTTCGGAACAAAGTCGCTGCGAGTCATTTATTAATTAAAAACAAGAAATTCTATTTTTGTGACCCTCTATAGTGCTTTCCCCCCTTAAGAAGAAGATATGTGTATTGCAGATGAAAAACAAAATTCCTCTAACTATAAAAATATTGTGCTTAGAATATCTTCCATTTAGTTTTAGAAGAAATCTCTTGAGAGAAGAGAGAAGAAGAGAGAGAAGCCATATATACGAATATTTCTGTTAAAGAAAAGATTTTTTGAGTGTAATATTGGATATAATATGGGTACTCCATTTGCATGAAACATATCATCCAATTACGCAATGATGAAGATTCGTGAGTCAGTGCGAAGTCAGTGATAATCTCTCTTTTTAGATAATAATTTTTTTCAATTCATTTAATAGAGTCTTATTTAGTACAATTCAATTTATATGTATTCAATTTATATGTATTATAATATATATACATATATATTATGATATTAAATAATTATAATAATTCACATAGTAATCTCAATGATAAATAAAAATTATTGTCTAGAACCTCTTTATAGAAATTTTTATATATTTAATGAAATTAATTAGCAATCGCACATTTAAGTGTCGACCCACTGGTCGGAGAACATCTATGTATGTGTATTTTTGTGCAAGATAAAAATTGGATTTTACGTTGGGAAGACTTAAGAGACGATATATCACTGCGGAATTGTTACACATCGCCACGCCTGTGTATGAGGGTCCATTGATTCCGACATCTCTGCCAAATGACAACGAAGTCAGACGTGGCTTTGTCGAACGTGACTGGAATCGAGTGATCCCTTCTCCCTTTGCGGAACGCTCGGGATTGCGTGTGGCATTTTTAGGCCATATAAATGATGCGCGACGTCAACAAGATGGTCACAGCAGCCCTCCGCTTTCGGCACCCCAAAATGACAACACTTTGCTGTGCTGTCCTGCTGGACAAGTAATCCCGTGAAATTCTCATGCTCCGGATTTTACGTGTTTCCACTGAAGTCGCGCTCTTCAAGCTACCGAGATGTTGGAAGATCGATATTTCACGTCGTCATGTCCGTATTGACAACACTGTCGAAAGTGTGTAGAATTGTTTAACGGCGAATCGACTGACAGCCTCATGAGTGACGAGTACTGGATTATTTGATATTCTTACTGGAATTTTCGTTACGTGCCTGCTGATACTGATTTTTGCTCCCATACTTTGATCTCCTACATCTCACAAGTACATTTATTCCGACAAAACAATGATATTAATCATTCCCGCGATTGTGGGAGGAAATGGACGAAATAAATACTTGGATTATGAGTGAATCGAAATGCTTTCGGATACACTGAGAGAATTTTAGAATAAAAATTACCGTAGAATTTTATAACTGACACGGATAATTCGACGTTATGCAGTAATTGACTACCTTTTCATCTCATATGTGTGCTTTATATTTCAGGAACTGAAATGTGCTGTTGAAAAATTGGCTATGTTTTTGACGAAATTCATATGGAGAGAATTTTATGATATAAAAATTATTATAGAATTTTGTAATCGAGAAACAGACATTTTGCAACTCACGAAATTTATATGAAGAGAATTTCATAGTATAAAAATTACTGTAGAATTTTGTGTATAATCGAGAAATAGATTGGCATTCTACAATATATAATCTTATTCTTAGCTGAATTCTTTATATATATATATGTGTGTGTGTGTGTGTGTGTGTGTGTGTGTGTGTGTGTGTGTGTGTGTGTGTGTGTGTGTGTGTGTGTGTAGCTCCAAAAAGATTCTAAAATCAAAAGGAAAATATTGTAACACTTAGAAAAAAATTCTAGTTATAATAATGCTGTTTTTTGTAATTCTATATTCTAAGAACTTATTAGGAGGGAGAGGGA